TATTTAAATTGGGCACGATCGGGATATCGGTTCGCCATGCAACTTCAAAATTTATTTGGCTATATCTCAGAAACTATAAAAGTTGTGGTATAAAAATTTCGCACAAACGAATATATTAGTAGGGCCAATGTGTCTTATAAATGTAGTTGAAATTACTTGGCTCCTTTTGGTACCTGCCATACAACTTCAAAAGTTATATTTCAGAAACTATATAAGCTAAGGTATTGAAATTTCACACAAACGAATATACTAGTAGCACCAATATGTTTGATAAAAGTCGTTGAAATTGCTTGGCTCCTTCTGGTACCTGCCATACAACTTCAAAAGTTATTTGGCTATATCTCAGACACTATAAAAGCTATGGTATTTTTTCTGGTAGCTGCCATACAACTTAAATAGTAGTTTGGCACACACAGTATTTTGAAAAACACACAGTACTGAAATTTTGCATAAATTAATATAGTAATACGGCAACTGTCCCATAGTCAGTTATGCATCTTTATTTGCACATAGAATAACAAATTCGTCCGGGTATCACAGAGTTGACAAGGTCAACTCTATTTTTTTTCTCGTTTTTATTTATTGTACGAATACACAGAATATTTTTTTCAATGATAAGAATCATCAGAATTGCAATTATTAATTTTTCCTTTTACATACATACTAGAATAAATTTGTATATTATGCCTATACACAGAAAATATTATTTCATACAGCTGTACACATTCAATCCTACACAAACATAGGTGAAATCGTCTCATATAATATACATAGAAGCAAGATACGCAAAAAATAAAAATATTCAAAAATACACATGCACACATAATTTATATTGTTTAATATGAATAAGATCAACACTCATGCGTACACATATAATTATCTCATAAAGCAAGATTTTTATTTTGCTGAGATTGCTACCTATCAACACTCGTCGTACACACAAAATTATATCACAAAGCAAAATGTTTATTATGCTGATCGTTGTCGCCCACTCACCAAACAAACAAACACATTACTATAATGTATTACTTTTTAGCACTTTTCCAAAAAATTTTTGAAAAATGTGCTTATTAGTTTCACTCTGTCCGTCCGTCCGTCCGTCCGTGGACACTTTTTTTGTTTACAAAACTTTTACACCCTTGAAGATAGAAAGCTTAATTTAACACGTACATAGGCCTTTACTAGAAACTTATTTCCGTAGAACAAAATTTTCACCTATCTCCCTCACTCTAGAAGTTATACCCCCCCAAAACCCTAAAAATGGCCTTTTTACCTATTTGTCGCAATAACACCATAAGCATTTTTGAAATTTTGCAAACGCAGAAAGGCAATGGCTTGTTTCCTCTAGCGCGGTATATTATAGTTAAACTTTAGAAAAACAAAATGGCCGTTCAAATTTACCGTTATCTAAAGTCTTTTTTTGCCAAATTTTTGATATCGTTTTTCTTCTAGACCCCAGCCTGTAGAAGCTTGAAATTTAAGGAGCTTTTAGACATTAACAAATAGTTTATTTTATTAGAAGAAAATTTTTTCCCATCTCCACCCCCCCTCAAGTTATCGCCTCTTGAAATTTGTAAAATTTGAATTTTTGACAAATTATATTTCCGAAACCGCAAGCTTTTTCAAATTTTTATAAACGAAAAAAGCTAACGGTAAATTCCATTACATTAAAAAATATAATTATTTTTCTTAACTCACACAATTAAACCTTAAAATCGAGCATTATGTTAACCCCACTTTATATTAATTTTTGCTTTATTTCAAAGACTGCATAAATCGTTCATCCTAAATACATACAAATGGTTTGACCCAACTTTATTTAAATTATGTTTTTTGTTCAAAATGTCTTGTTTATCTTTAATATTTCTTTACAGAAAGGCTTAAGCTAATTTTGTTAACGAGTATAAATAATATAATTTGAAATATGAGTGCTGAATTACCCACAAAACATTTTTTCCATTTTATTCAAAACTTATTAATCTGCAAATGTATGGGTTTTGATTCTACTATCTTCATATTTAAAATATAAAATATTTTTTTGGATATAAATGGTGAATTTACAAGTACCCTATGAAGATTTTTCAGTTTAAAATTTTTTTTTTTATAATTTAACTCAGTACAGTGTTGGAAAACTATCGATATATTTCACCACCGATATTTTTGATATATCGATTTACGATATATCGATAGTTTCGTAGCGCAACTTGCTGCGGTATAGGCCCCGATTAAGTTTATAAAGAAACACATAATAATGGTAAATACATGATAGTGTGGTCATAACCAAACATGGAATGAATAAAACAAGTACATATATAAATAATATTGTTTGAAAAATATCAGCTATTAGACTTATCAGCGGCTTATACAGGCATTATAATGTGCATAATATTAACTTTAAATATTTTATTATTTAATAAACGTTTTTCTTTTGTTAATTTTTCATTCTTTATTTTATCGATAAGCAAAACACTTTCTTTGTCCGTTGCCAATAAACTGGCAAGTTGAAATATTTTAGAATAGTAGTAAAATAATTGTACACATTGAAACATTTATGCCTTTTGGAAAACTTGCTTATGAAAACGCTCAGTTAAGTCCGGTATTGAAGCGACATATTGTGTGTTAAACTTTAACTTTGACAAAGCTAGTAGCAAGTTTTTTCTGTTGTTCATTCAAAAGAATGAATCTTAAGAATATAATGAAAATCATTGCTAACTCCACTTCATGTTTTCAAGAAATACTTGAAATGAAATAAAAGAACATATAAACAGAAAGAAAAAATTTCCAATTTTTACTGATGTAATAAATTAATGTGTATGCGTATGAAAATAGAGTTATGAAATTCATAAAATTCAAAACGATATTCCGTTCTTGCCTATTTTTCAAAATTTATTAATTGCAAAGAATTGATATTTATGTATATTAAAGTCGATAGTATTATATCGACTTTAAAACCATCGCTAGTTTCGATAGTTGAAAACTATCGATAAAATCGATAGTGCCATCGATAGTTCTCCACCTCTTGAGTCAGTACCCTTTTAAAAAGCAATGAAAAAAGTCTGCATCGCTTGATTTTCTACAAATTTTAGGAAATATTTTTTCAATAAAATTTATTTTGATTGTAAACTTCGTTCTTTTGGCAATTTTTTTTACAAACGTCAAAATAAAACTCTAAGGTTTATTTTTATAAAAATATTTTTAGGTATTTTTAGATGTACTAAATGACTTGAAACATAAAAGGACGATGATTTTTACCATCCTTATTGTGTATACAATTAAGTAGAATTGATTAACTTTTGGGATATGTTTTACATTTTTGATCATTTTTAAGAAAATATTCAAGAGATTGATACTTACCAGGACAGCGATTATGTTAACGGCTCTTTCAATATTTTATTTGTTTTATTTCAAATAATACATTACTTGTTCTAAATGCATGCAGTTTTTAAAATACATTCGTATATGAGTGAAAATAATTTTGATAATGTAGATTATTTTTATAACCACTATTTTCACTTGTTGAAGGAAAATGTGCTACATTATAAACCATTGATTCGACCCAACTTTCATATTTTCTTAAAATAACTTTTTCTTAAAAGAATTTTTCTTTTTTCATTTCTTGTAATTTTTATTGATTTATTTTTTAACGGACAGGTAATGAAATTTATTATATTACTTTACAAAAATTAAAATTTGTTTTAGGGCCTGATAAAATCCCAAAGCGTTTTACAACGCTTTTATAAGCCATGAAAAAATTTATAATAAATAAATTCATAAATAATTTTGCGTAAAAATTTTTATGACATGAATTTTTATCTATTCAAAAATTAATTAATTTTTAGCTCTAAGAAAAAACTAAGAACTCGATTTGATTTCATACATTTTAGTTTAAATTTATTTTAAAGTACCATGTCATATACAAAAATGAAACGAAACCATGTAGAATAGTCGTTAATGGCATTTAATATTTTATTACTTTGTTAATATTATTGTTATGAAAGTTTTGGATAAATAAATGAAATGAAAAAAAATATATGAAATTAAACGTTTTAAAATATTAAAAAATTATTTCATATTAAAAAAATCTGATGTATGTATTGTCTAGTTAAGTGAAAGTGTTACAGAATACGAGTATTATAAAGATGCCTGTTAAATACTTCTTTACAATTTTTGGGGCGTTAGTAAGCAAAATGTAAATTTGGCTCTTTTTAGAGTTTCGTTCTGTGCTACCCGAATTTTCTGAAATGCTCACCAGTTAGTTTCGGTAACAACCAGAACTCAAATATCAAATTTCAAGAAATCAATTCGTTCCGTAAATATGGTACAAAATGTAAAATCGGCCTCAGATCATTTCCGAGCCCTGATCTTTCTGAAAAATTTATACGTTCCTTATTTTAATATGAATTTAAATATTAAATTTCAATGAAATCGAGTGATTATTTCTCTTTATATACGCAAAAATGTATATTTGGCCTGTAGTAAATGTCCAGTTGCTGGCGCTTGATTTCTTCTAAAAGTTAGGAGGTTTCGCGGACGATCGAGCGAAGCTTATATATGAAATTTCAAGTAAATCTGTTTATTTAACATTTTATTTAATATTTTCTTCATAATGATGAAAAATGTAAAACAGGCCCGCTAAAAAGTGCAGTTCCCGAAGCCTGATGTATCCCAAAAGTTGGTCAATCAGTGCCATAGTCGGAATATTTTTACATGTAAAATTTCGTCAAAATCGGTTCAGCCGAACAGACCGACAGCTTGCTAAAAATAGTTTATTTCCACTTCCCTACAATGGAGAAGTGCGTTCCCTCCGAAAACTCTATTTACAAAATTTGTTGCCATCACATGACCTACCTATTGTATACACAATGCGGTCGGTAAAAAGTGGCACAACTACAAAGTTATTTAATTAATAGTCCAATATTTAATTAATTGTAAATTTTATCAGCAAAGACGAAAAATAAGATGTGGTTTGAATATTATAAAATAATACAAAAAATATTTACTTTTTTATCCGTCTGTTGTTAATATTTGTATTAGAATTGTTCAAATTGCGATCTAATAATAAAACTTTGTTTCGAGAATTTGATTTTTCTCCTGCTTCTTCCATTGTAGCAATATTTTTCGATGTTAGCGGTAATTCGTCGTTTTGAACATTACAATTTTCCTGCTCATTGATTGTTTCTTTTATCATCTTGCACAGATTTTATAAAAATAAATTCAGATTTTACCAAAATAATTCCATGAACAAATTCTTTCTCTACAGAAGAATACGCAGAATACAGAGATTACATAAAAAATCTGAAAAGTAAACTTAATATTAATTTTATTTTGCAAATAAAAATTTATCGAAAATGTCAAGTAAAATCATAAAGTATGCCTAATGGACAAAACAAAATAAAATTGTAATCAATATTTTATACCTAGCATAATTATGTAGTTTAACTATCAAGTTATCGATAAAAAAGGCTCCGTTTATAAAAAAAATGCCCCTTTTCTGAATCTTGGGACCATATTGATCTCCGCGAAATATGTATATAAATTCATATTTTAATTTGTTTGATTGCATATTCTTTTTACTGTTCGAAATATCAAAAAATATGTACATAGTTTAAGAAATTAAAATAAAATAAACAAAATTCTATTAAAAATATTGCATGTTTTGGTAACCGTGAAATAAACTTGTTTCATATTTATTACTTTCCTAAGGCTATTAACCCTATCATCTATTTATACGTGTAAAAAGGTATAAATTTAAAATTTATTAGATACATACATATATTGACTACATGGAGATTTGGTTTTAATTTAAAAAACAATGTAAAAGTACAACTTTTACCATGGCTAAAATTTTATAGGTGCTAAAATATTTTTATTACATATGTATGTACATATGTGTATGTATTTTTATTATACCAAGCCGATCGCATTTTTTTATTTACTGTCGAACGACAATCGTAAATCGTTCGTTCAAAACTATAATTGTCAACAGATTATTATTATAGAAAACGGCGAATGGGCAAGGTAAAAATTGCAGATGGTCAAATTTTTTTTATCTTACTCTTTCGGCAATAAGCAATTACAGAGCTGCTGGTTTCAATAGATATAAACATTAGGTCTAACTGGTATATGAAAGTTTTTAAAAACTGCTGGGATAATAAAGCAGCTGGGATAATACTCCCTGAAAAAAATGAGAGAAAAGATGAGGTCTTTATTTTCTCAAAGTTTAAAGTTTTTGCAAGTTTTTTAAAGGAAAATTTAGTGTTTTAAAAACTTTTAAAATCTTACAGCTGTCGAAACATATGTTTTTCTGGGTTATTTCAGAAAGTTTTATTTTTCAAAACAAAATTCTTCATCAAAAATAATTTTTTTTCATAACTTTCAATTAAAAATAATACGAAATTAACAAAATGAATTCACAAATAGTTTTTTTTTTTAAGTTTCACTCTTTTATAATTCAAAATGAAAATATTAAATTTGTTATATTTTGCTATATTGAAGAAAGTAATGTACTTATAGTAATAGCAATATACATATTGTTTTTAGATATGTACTCTCATTGAATCTCAGTTAATCGGAAATTCTACAACATCTCACGAGTAAAAAAAATTGCTCGGTAAAGTTAATTTAAAAGAGACATAATTTTTAAAGTTATTTTAAAAGAGACAAAATTATATAGATAGACTCTTGCCGAACAGTTCAATTGACATGTCGATGAACTGTAAATGTATTTAAACCGAACGTAAGATACGAATGCTAGAAGCAAACAAACATACGTATTTTAATGAATATAATAATCTAAACTTTTTTTGAACGGACAATTACATAAACAATGTTAAAAAAAATCACAAAAGAAAACTAAGACATTTATGACTTTAGCCATAATTCTCGCTTTTTATCGCTTCTATATCAACCACTAAAAGAAAAATACTTTTGAGGTATCGTAACGTGATAAGACGTTTGTGAAACGACTACCGATGTCAGTTAAGAGTTAGGATTGTATGCGTTTTTTTTAAATCTTTTCTTTAAAATTTTAAAGAAAAGCTTCTGTAAGACGATTTATGACTATGACGATTTCATACTATGATCGACTCATTGCGACTTTCCCAAATACATTTGATATGACTTAGTGTTGTAATGACTATGCTACAACTATGTATAGTCACTACAACAGTAAATCATAGAACTATATGGGTTTAATTATTTTTTATAAACTTTATCTTAAGTATTATAACTCACTAGTAAAAACTCTTAAATAAAATTGATTACTATAATTTTAATCAAATATATTATATCAAAAACTATACGTTTTCACATCATATGACAAAAACCGAAAAGTTTTTAAATTTACCAAAATCGTTGGTATATTCAATTAAACCAAAAATATGAAGTCATTATCGCTAGTTAAAGACATATAAGTATGTATACAGGCATCTAGTTGTAAATAATAGAAATTGTTTTAAAACGCAATAAATGTAGCATACGTAACGTATGTATGTATTTTCAAGATTTTTTGTTCACTTTGTAAAACTACATATGTATTTGCTTGCTACGTTTATAAACAAAGTTTTAAATAGATTTTGTTTACAAAAGTATTTAACATGTAATCAAAATTAAAGCACCTATCTCGTACATACATGCATATGTACAACAAATATAATATTATAAGGATTTTAAACTTTAGGAAATAGGGAATGCTGTGTAGATTAGAGCCTCTCAAAACTCATGACAACGCGACAACAAAAATTAATGGGCAATGATTTCGAGACTTCCGTTTGTTTGATTTCCGAATTTTTCCGTTAATATTTGGAAAAATATTTTTAATACAGGGTGTTTCGTATAAGGTGGCAAATAATTTCAAGGATAAGTTCGCAATCAATCGCCTGTAAAATCAGCCCCCGATGCTTACTTTACGTCGCATAATTCCGAAGTTAGAAGCATGTATTTTTACGCAGGAAAAACCTGGTAAATTTTTTTTTCAACAAGCTGTAGCTGGAAAACGAGTATATTTTAATTAACATGCATACATAAAGGCAAAAGTATTTTTAATATGTTTGATTTTGGATTTTTTTATTTTTAATTTGAAAAAATATGAAAATTTCTTGATTCTTTGCAAACACAAAATTTTAGGGTACAAATACAATTATAATTATTGTATGAGTTTAAGTATTTATGTATGAGTACAATCCGAAACTGAAGAAAACAAAATATTCCTCATACTAGGATTACGAAACAGTAAAAATAAGAAAACTTTTTTGTTTAGGTGGAGAGATGTAGAGAATTCTAATCAATAGAGAATTCGGTAATCAAAAAAAATCATTAAAAAAAACGATTAACAAAATTTGATTATAGAGAAAAGAATGTATGAAAAATGCATATGGTTCAACTACAGTAAACAGTTGAAAAATGGCATTTTTAGGGTTTTGAGGGGGTATAACTTTTAGACGGGAGGAGATAGGTAAAAATTATGTTCTACGAAAATTAGATTCTAGTAAACATCTATGTACATTTTAGGTTTCTATCTTCAAGGCTGTAGAAGTTTTGTATACAGAACCACGTACAGCCGGACGGACGGTCGGACGGAAAGAGTGAAACTAATAAGCACTATTTTTCGAAAATTTTTGGAAAAGTGCTAAAAAATAGAAAAGACTATAGAAAATAATCTTTAAACTAACTGATACATACGCTGAAAATTTTTTCTGCAACTACGGGAAGAATGAATGTGACGTACATATTTCCTAAAGCTAAAATCGACTTCATTATACATAAATATAATATGTATGCAATGATATACATTTTTTAATCATTTATGTTTTTTTTAATTTTTTGAATTTTTCATTATATAAAAATATATTCATATAATATAATATTGAAGTTCCAATATTGAAGTTCCAATTAAATGGCGAATGATCCATCAATTATTATAAAAAAATATAAATAACATTAAGTATTTAATAATATAGAAAGGTATGCAAATTAAAATCATTGCTTTTTAACTTAAACTGAAAATCACTAATTAAGAATAAGTTGAAAACTAATTTAAAAAGAAAATTTACAAACAAATACGGTACAATGCTGAAAAGTATAAAAATATTAAGAATCAAATATGTATAACTAATACTTAAAACATTAAGGAACAAAAGAAAATTAATATTATAAAAATACGAATGTACATTATTAATGTATTATAGAAACGTTAAATTAAATATCAAACTTTTCTAGGTAGAATTTAAGTAAAAGACGAATGTCAAAATGCCTTGATTTCTATTAGTAAGGTCAATGTGCCTATGAGTAAGGCGACTCATTTTTTCGTTGAGATAAGCCTTAAATATTTGGTAAACCTAAATAATAAAATCAAAAACAATTCTAAAAAAATCTGAATGACAGTTAAACGAATTAAAAGGATTAAAATAAATTTCCATAGGACATCTGCCACATGTTATGTACAATCATGTGAAAAGTCTTAATAAATGTTAAAGTTCATATATTTGGTATTACAACTAATCCTCAAATTTAGAACACAAAACCAATTACGAACTATGTCCAAGACATAGTTAATTTTTACAACTAGATCGAAGAATCTTCAATGAACTTGAGCTAGTGTAGGTGAAGACATTGTTATTAGTAAACACAGTGGGACAGCCATCGAAATCTTGGATGATCGACGAATTTATAAATACGAAGAACAGAATGGGTCTCAATATTAAACCCTGGAGGACAAACTTTCTAAACGCGAACTACAATTTGGCTTTTTGTTTTCTTTGTAACAAATAAAAACAAAACCAATCATAAAAGTAATTTCTGAAACCAGCCCTATAAAATTTATCAAAGGGATATCAAGATCAAACTGTTTAATGTCTATAAAAAGTGCTGATATGAAGTTAGCTAATTCCCGTTCAGAATGTGAACAAAGCTCCTTCGGTAGATTGACCTCAAAGAAAACCAAATTGAATCGCTAAATAATTAATCTCCTTTTACAAATTTTGGAAAAAACAAATCCCGTAAAGCTCAGAATTAGTGAAAAGATCAAAGTAAAAAGTGTAAAATACAAATGGTTTTCGTTTTATGAAATCCATAGGATATACCGAAGCGTTATAAGTATTTGTAATGCTATTGGAAAAGTTAACAAAAACACGTTGCTACTATATTTCAGGTCACTCCTTCAAAAAATAGCGACACATATATATATATATCATATCCATATATAAGCATATATATCTAAGAAGCATATCCATATATATATATATATATATATATATTGTATAGTAGTATACATA